CGACGACGACGACGACGACGAAGAAGAAGAAGAAGAAGAAGAAAAAGAAGAAAAAAACGAGTGATCGTAGTAACACCGGCGCGTCTCCTCTCGCGGCTTCGTGCTTGTCTCGGAATTAGTGAGTAGACAGAATTATGTCCGTGAGCAGACCAGCTCGGCTCAGTTGAGACTTACTGCTCAGCCTGTGCACACGCATGCTACGAATCTTTCCTACTTACATATATACCGGCGGCTTCCTGATGCGATTAGACTAGTCCGCGATACACTCGCCACTCCGTATCACGGACGAGTTTGTTTAACACTTCATCGTAACGCGGACACACACGCCCGCCCAGCGATCTATCCGTCAATCGTTCGCGCGATCCGTTCTCTGGGTCACTCGCTTCAACGTGAACAGCCACGCGGTTTTTAGCCACGGCAATAGCTAACCAACGGGGGGTTGTGAATTCCCTCGCGCGACAAAAATGAGGAATTCCGTCGAGCGATAACAGTGACAGCATGACAGTTTGCATGTCTCTGACAAGGTAGTACTGTTTGTTATCTTCGAGCGATTCTGACGGAGACAGAAGCGAGTCAGAACAAGTGAGAATTTCCCCGTCTGAAAGAGAAGAAGCTTCCTTAGTCATGAAGTTCTTCGGATTCTTCGTGCTGCTGTTGGTTGTTTTGACTGCGAACAGTGTCTCGGGCCACCATCATCATCGCGAAGTCCACGCGGATGACAAGAAGAAAGGAGATCCGGTGGACCAAGTAAAAAGATACGCGCCGAGTGACGACAACGACAACGACAACGACAACGTGGTGCTCACCGTAAGTGAGAAGAACAAGAGAAGCCCGAAGGGCGAGGAAACGAAGAGCGGTGTACCTTTCAGCGAGAGAAGGTTGGAGAAGATGTTGGAGAAGGCTATCCTAAAAATAATCACCGGCGATTTGAGCACCGGTGACATGTTGCTGCTGAAAAGTTTGAATTACAGTCTAGAGGAGGTTCTGGCGATTCGCGAGAGGGAGCTGAGTAAAAAGAAGGACGAGGAATTGAGGAAAAAGGAGAACGCCAAGTCTTGGGCGAAAGTGTCGTACGAAGATGGAGAGAAGAAGAGTAGAAATTGGAGTAAAAAGTCCATGGATCGTTCCTCGTCGAGGAATCCCGATTTCGAGAACGTCAAACGAGAAGGTAAAAAGAATCGTCACGTGGACAAATCGTCACCGTCTTACAAGGACTTCGACTTCGAAGCGTATAATAAACAAGCGATCCTCGATTACGAGAATTTGCCCTCCAACATGGAGTTTCAACAGCCCTGGTCGGAATCAACGGCTGTTGACTACGAAGAGGCTACTGAGACTTCCGAGGAACAGGATGCCGCGAACAATCTCCATCGTGACTTTGACAAAGCTATGGAGCCTCACGTGGTCTTCAAGATCCGATACGACGACTCTGAGTTCGACTCTAGCTCAGGTTCCGACGAAAGCAACAAAAATCGTCTTAGAACGTTCAAACATCACGCCTCCTCGACGATACGGCACACGACTTCGAAGAATGCTGGCAATTCCTTTCATGCGTCGACACCATTACCGATGTCTTCAACTACTGCTGCTACTGTTCCTGTGGTTTACCAACTGAGCAACACCAATGCAAGGAGTAACTATCTAACGAACAACGATTATTCTACAACCACGTATTCGACAACATCGAGTAGTACCACTACTACGGAGAGTACTGTTGCATCAGACGAAATGTTGGAAGATAAAAATGACACAGATATCGCTAGCGTTACGAATACTACTGACAAAATGGAAGTTTCAAAAAGTGGAGAGAAACTCAGTGAGAATAAGAGAATCAGTGAATACGAGGGACTCGAATGGGTCGAAGACGACGTTTACAGGGTAATCCCTGAATTTGTGGATTCCCTTGGCTTCGAGAACACCGAAGAGAACGAGACGTCGGACTATGAAGACTCCAGTCACGATTCCCGACTAAATTGGAACATAGAAGAGTACGAGAATGACACGTCGGGCTACCTAAACGACACTCCCGATTCTGTCAAGCTTTTCGTGGCGAACAACAACGTGTCCTCTGGTAGCCTTCCATTGGCCAATTTGTCGTCCTACCTACAATTAGCCATTGCTCATAGACGAGGGTGAGTAAGCTAATCGACGTGTTTTATGGTCCTACGTTTTCCCAAGCTTCTATTCACTGCGCTCTCAGTAATTCAAGTAAATATCTTTTTAATTAAAACTTCGATACAGATTGGATTCATGGAGGAAAATCGTACATTTTCAAAAGCCGTAGATTGCACGATTCTCTCTCCCGTTGATTATATTCTTTCTCGTAAAATGTTTAAATGTCGTGTGTCTTGCTTTGCAAAAAATGAAATTAGTATCTATACAATCTGCTTTTTGTGTCTTTTAGAGGAAACCTAACCTCAAGCTTCGACAGGTAAGCTTCACCTCGATGGCTATGATCGATATCACTATGATCTTTTTTTGGGTAAGGGACTCGGTGTGCCGAACAAAATGGACAGATGAATTCTTTTTGGTTTTATTCCCCCGGGCCGATCGGCTGCTTTCCTTTTGGCTTGGCTTGCATAATCTAAAAATACGTTCTCTCATCACGATTATCTCATTGCTCGTATTGCACGAGATACGATTTATTACGATAACAACGGGAGACCTATTCTCCACGGAGGTATGTTGTGTCTGCATGAAAAGGTAACGCACCCGTTCTTCTCCTCTTTTTTCTCTCTTCCTCTTTCGAGACTAAATCGGCCGATATTCGTCTTTTATTCGTAATTATCATAACGAAGAAACGAAGCGAACGATTTCCCAACGACGTAACCCAGGCCTGTGCTCACAAATACTTGACGACAAAAACGTTCTCGACGAATCATTGCCCCCGCCACGTAAAAATATCTCGATGGCCCGTAAAAATATCGCGATGAAACGAAGAACCACGAAGCGCCACTGAATTTCTGCGCTGACTTGAGCTGACCAGCGTCCGCTTCTTCCACTGTTTCTCCTCTCGTTTCTTCGTTCACGGTTTTCTAAATGAAAAATTCAAAAGAATTAATCAACACTTTCAATTCCATTTCCTGAGAACAATATATCAACAGAAATCTGGTTATAAGAATGATCTAAAATTTCAAAACGATTATGTCAAGATCAGTGAGACGCGTAAAGAAAATGCTTAATGTCAAAGAAAAATGATTTGTCGAGCAGAGAGACGAGTGCTCGTAATCTTTTCGAGAGACAAACGCGAGTACGAAGAACAGAGCCAGGAAGGACGTGCTGTGGAAATTCCGCTGTGGTCCCTATGCTATGTTTTTAAATCGCTCTCCTCCTCCACCACCTTGGCCTCTGGTGCGAAGACGTTTCTTTTATTTTATTAAGTCTAGACGCGTAAATGCATTCGTGTCGGCACTGGCGTAGCCTGCTGAGAGTCCTCCGGTGTGTCGGTCGTTCCGCTTCTTCCTCGAGTCTTCTACAGGATGATCTGAACGATCTGTCGATACTTAAAAAAAAAAAATCCTCTTGTCGTTCGATTTCAAAAGTTACAGCTGAAGAAGAGAAGAAACGGAGTAACAGAGTTATTTCATTTTCATAACGTGTTGCTTAATGATAACGTGGACACGGATGAAGGGGTGAGAACACGCATGACACGTCGCGTGCAGACGGATTAATTTACTTTTTACGATGTATACAACGAAGCAGATGCGGCTAGATCGTGGCGAAAACGGCGGCTTTAAGTTGAGCACCCTCGTAATCACCGGGTGTCTAGTCAGACTGCAGTTAGGACTGCTCTCCTACGAGGTTATGTAACACATTTTAATTTAATGCGCTGACCTTGTCTATGCGTCTCTCTTCCTATGCCGATAAAGACGAGACGCGCAACGAAGAACGAGAAGGAAGTTTTTGTCAGTGGCTCCCCACCTCCCCGCCAGACGACTTGCAACTTGCATTTTTTCATGTCGTTAATCAGATCGACGTTCACCGTTTTCTACATTACACCATTTCCCTCAGTTCCTCGGTACCGATCTTTCACATCGATTTTCTTAGCCCTTAATAAATCGATCGAGATCTTCTCGTTGAATTGTTTCGCAACATTACAAAAATTATTCTATAATACAGTCTTCTTTCCTTTCACTAATAAGTTTTTCGTAATAACAAGAATGAAAGATCCTTAAAGATATTGAAAGAAATCTTCTCGTTTAGATTTCCATGTGTTGATGCTGCAGTGCATTGCTTCGTGCTCGTTCGAAGGCTGTTACAAAACCGGCGTAACGTAGCCAATTTTCTTAATACGGTACTCGGGAAGGATCACTGGATTCATTCTCATGATGCAACGGCCTCCAGACACCCGAGTCCTTCCCTTTCCCAGACAGCAGACAGACGTGACACGTACGCAACGAGACGCTGTAGAATGCGTGACTTGGACGTGGCTAGATTAAGGAGCATGTCTAGAATGGAATACAATCCATAAAGATTTCGTGGCGAGATTTCGTCCGAGTGCTCTTCTCCCTCTAGCTCTTCCGCTTTCTCAAAGGGATTCCTGAATAGGAAAGAAAAGAAAAGGAAAAAAAAGGAGAAGTGGGACAAATTGAATCGGTATTGATAAAGAGAGAAATTTCGTTCTCTCTTTCTTTTTTTTTTTTTTTTTTTTTT